CCAGTTCTGTTTGGCAGCGTTTCAGAGCCTGTTCATTTGGACTGACTTCAGTTGGAGGTTCATTATTGTAATGATGTCAATATCACTCACACGGGTTCACTAGTCGCATCTCAACCTTGGAAAGGCTATGGTATTTTACAGGGTGCAGTGACATTTGTAGGCCTGCTTGGACACTCACAACGAGGTGACTTTCTGTAGATTAAATGTCAAGTTTGCAATGGTCCAAGGTAATTGAATCCTGGAGCTCTGTCCACTTCAATTCTCTACTGGGCCATTGACTTGGGGCCTGGGTCTCGTTAGGTGCTAGTGAGCACAGGACAGTTTGTCTTGTGCCAGAGGTCAGTCTGGAGCCCAGGAGAAGCAGGTGAGGGAAGAGGGTGGGAGTGGGAACATGGAGTAGTGAAGCAAGACACCCGGGGGGACAGCTCATGTTCATTTCTTTAAATCCAAGCACATCTGTGGTTGGTTGACGATAAGTTATTGCAGACAGACAGTGTGCTGGCTAGATGACATAAGCTACAGTCATCCAAGAAAAGGAAACCCCAGTCGAGAAGATGCCTCCATAAAATCCAGCTGCAGGCAAGCTCGTAGGAGATTTTCTTAGAGACTGATGTGGGAGGACCCAGCCTTTTGTGGGTGCCGCCCATGTACTGATGGTCCTGGGAGCTATATGAAAACAGGCTGAGCAAGCCATGGGGAGCAAGCCAATAAGCAGCACTCCCCCATGCATCAGCTCCTGCCTCCTGGTTCCTTCCCTGTTTGAGTTCCTTCCTTGGCTTTCCTCAATGGACTGTGATCCAGTATATGTGAGTCAAATAAACCCTTCCCTCCCCAAGCTGCTCTTGGTCATGGTGTTTCATCACAGCAGTAGAAACGTGAAGGCAGACAGCTTCTGCAAATGCAAGGGATTCCCAGATGTAAGGCCATCTAATCAGGGGCTGGGAAGACTCTGAGCAAACATGTGAATCTGAGTTCAGATCTAGCACTGTGTAAATTCTGGGTGGTATGGTGCACACCTATCATCCCAGAACCGGGGAGAGAGGGCGTCAACAGGAACAGGAGGATTCCTGCAGCCTTCTAGACACCAAAACTAGCCACGTTTGTGAGCTCTCCCTTCAGTGAGGCAACCCGTCTCAGAAAGTAAAATGATTAGCAACTGAAGAAGAAATCTGACATCCAGCTTGGGCCTCCACATGCACACACACATGTGCACACACATGCACACACATGAGCACACACGCAATCACATACAAATACTATACACATACACGACACAATGTAAACACATCTAGCTATTGATAGGAGCCTGATCATAAGGATTGGCTGCGGTCTGAGTGTCTTTACACTTTCTCCTCACAAAGGACTCTGGGTGAGTGAGGGGAGCCCCATCCATCTTCCTCCTCAGGGGTGCAAACTGGATGTATGCATCGGGTGAGCCAGTGATGGTCACCACAGAGCCCCTGAGTTTTCCTGAAAGTCTCACCATGCTGTGATCCGTTTATCTCTATCACCACCACCTGGTGACCAGGCTGTTGGTCTAGGGGATGCTATCTTCAAGAAATGAATACTCAGAAATGGATACTCTGGTCTCCTGTTAGTTGGAAGCTGAGACAGATCCAAAAGGAATCCCCTTTTAAGATGGGGTTCCATGTAGCTCAGGCTGACCTCAAACTTGCTATGTAGCCAAGGATGACCTTACATACCCATTTCTCCTGACTCCCAAGTGCTGGGATTGCAGATGTGTAGCACTACACCTGGTCTATACAGTGCTAGTGGTCTGTACAGTCTACACAGTGGTCTCTACAGTCTATACAGTGGTCTGTACAGTCTATACAGTGGTCTGTACAGTCTATACTGTGGTCTGTACAGTCTATACTGTGGTCTGTACAGTCTATACAGTGGTCTGTACAGTCTATACTGTGGTCTGTACAGTCTATACTGTGGTCTATACAGTGCTAGGGTCTATACAGTCTATACTGTGGTCTGTACAGTCTACACAGTGGTCTGTACAGTCTATATAGTGGTCTGTACAGTTTATACGGTGGTCTATACAGTCTACACAGTGGTCTGTACAGTCTATACTGTGGTCTATACAGTCTATACAGTGGTCTGTACAGTCTATACAGTGGTCTGTACAGTCTATACGGTGGTCTATACAGTGCTAGGGTCTATACAGTCTATACAGTGGTCTGTACAGTCTATACAGTGGTCTGTATAATCTATACTGTGGTCTATACAGTCTATACAGTGGTCTGTACAGTCTATACAGTGGCCTGTACAGTCTATACAGTGGTCTATACAGTGCTAGGGTCTATACAGT